AGTTATTGCGACACCGTGCTGCAGGGAAGGAGGGGGGGAAGCGACGGGGAATCGGGGGGGACAACAGGGGACAACCATGACCCTCCTGGGACGTGGGGTGGGGGTGGGCAGGACCTGGATGCCTGGGTCCCCTCTGAGACTCCCAATAGGTCCCAGACCCCTGGGTCCCTTCTGAGACCCCCCAACGGGACTTGGACCCCTGGGTCCCCCCTGGACCTGGACCCCTGGCTCCCCTCTGAGACCCCCAACAGGACCTGGACCCCTGGGTCCCTCCTGGACCTGGACCCCTCAGTCCCTCCTGGACCCTTGGTAGGATGTGGATGCCCAAGTCCCACTTGGACCCAGACTCCTGGGACCCCTCTTGGACCTGTGGTAGGACCTGGACCCCTGGGTGCCCCCTGAGACCCTCAACAGGTCCCAGACCCCTGGGTCCCCCTTGGACCTTCAGTACCTGGGTCCCTCCTGGACCCTGGGTGGGACATGGACCCTTGGGTCCCCCTGGACCTGGACACCTGAGTCTCCTCCTGGACCCCTGTTAGGACCTGGACCCCTGGGTCCCCTCCTGGACCCTTGGTAGGACCTGGAGACCCACGTCCCACCTGGACCTGGACACCTGGGTGTCCTCTTGGACCCTTGGTAGGACCTGGACCCCTCAGTCCCCCTTGGACCCAGATGCCTGGGTCCCCTCTTGGGGACACCTGGGTCCCTCCTGAGACCCCCAACAAATCTGGGTCCCCTCCTGGACCTGTGGCAGGACCTGGATCCCTGGGTCCTCCCTGGACCTGGACACCTGAGTCCCCTCTTGGACCCTTGGTGGGACCCAGACCCCTGGGTCACCCTTGAGACCCCCAACAGGTCCTGGACCCCCAGGTCTCCCCTGAACCTGGACACCTGGGTCCCCTCCTGGACCCTTGGTAGGACCCAGACCCCTCGGTCCCCCTTGGACCCAGATGCCTGGGTCCCCCCAAGACCCCCAACAGTTCCCAGACACCTGGGTCCCCTCCTGAATCCTTGGTAGGACCTGGAGACCCATGTCCCCCCTGGACCTGGACCCCTGGGTCCCCCGTGAAACCCCCAAGAGGTC